CCAACAGACATTGCCGGACTCTGTCTTGTGCCCCATTACCAGGTTTTCTGCCCCATCCCTTGGTTCTGCCTCTGAGGGCATACTGGGCGCAAGCTCCTGAGCTCCACTGCCTGACCCCATGCCAAATGATTGCTTCTGGCCTCTTTAAGGAACTCCAGTGACCCAGGAAACATTCACACCTGCTCCAGATTTTATAGGCAGGTCACCAAAACCCTGCCCATTCCACCTCATCCTGACAGTCATTCCCATAAGATGCCCAACACCAGCAACAGTGGGAAGGCACCTCTCTCACCAAACGTGCCAAAATATTATGGGAAAGGGTTTTCCTTCCCTTTCAGTCTGGTTCTGTGGGTGACTTCTCCTATATATACCTCCATTTTTAACCAATTCCTCCACAGACATACTGCCCCTGAAGAGTCACTTCTATTGCTTTGGCTTTCTTACTTCACGATTACAAACTCAAACATCAGTTGGAGCTATTTTGTTTTATTATACATAGCAGAACTCATCCACTCATCCCTGCATTTAGAATCATTGAATCGTTTAGGTTGGAAAAGACCTTTAAGATCACCAAGCCCAACCATCAACCTACCACTGCCAAGTTACCACTAAACCACGTCCCACAGCACTATATCTACACGTCTTTTAAATCCCTCCAGGGCTGGCAACTCAACCACTTCCCTGGGCAGCCTGTTCCAATGCTTGACAACCCTTTCAGGGGAAGAAATTTTTCCTAATATCCATCCTAAACCTCCCCTGGCACAACTTGAGGCTGTTTCCTCGTGTCCTATCGCTTGTTACTTGGGAGAAGAGACTGACCCCCACCTCGCTACACCCTCCTTTCAGGTAGTTGTAGAGAGCGAGAAGGTCCCCCCTCAGCCTCCTTTTCTCCAGGCTGAACACCCCCAGGTCCCTCAGCCACTCCTCATAAGACGTGGGCTCCAGACCCCTCACCAGCTTCGTTGCCCTTCTCTGGACACCCTCCAGCACCTCAATGTCTTTCTGGTAGTGAGGGGCCCAAAACTGGACACAGTATTCCAGATGCAGCCTCATCTGTGCCGAGTACAGGGGGACAATCACTTCTCTAGCCCTGCTGGCCACACTATTCCTGATACAGGTCAGGATGCTGTTGGCATTCTTGGCCACCTGGGCACACTGCCGGCTCATATTTAGCCGGCTGTCAACCAACACCCCCAGGTCCTTTTCTGCCGGGCAGCTTTCCAGCCACTCTGCCCCAAGCCTGTAGCGCTGCGTGGGGTTGGTGTGACCCAAGTGCAGGACCCGGCACTTGGCCTTGTTCCGTCTCATACCATTGGCCTCGGCCCATCGGTCCAGCCTGTCCAGATCCCTCTGCAGAGCCATCCTACCCTCAAGCACTCCTACACTCCTGCCCAGCTTGGTCTCATCTGCAAACTTAGTGAGGGTGCACTCAATCCCCTCATTCAGATCACTGACAAAGAGAACAGGCACTAGGACTGAGCCTTGGGGAACATCACTTGTGACCGGCCACCAACTGGATTTAACTCCATTCACCACCACTCTCTGGGCACAGCCAGCCAGCCAGTTTTTTACCCAGCGAAGAGTGCGCCCATCCAAGCCATGAGCAGCCAGTTTCTCCAGGGGGAATCACCCACTGACCAGGTCACCTTGTCATACAAGGAGATCAGGTTAGTCAAGCAGGACCTGCTTTTCATAAACCCATGCTGACTGGACCCAATTGCCTGCTTGTCCTATACATGCCACGTGATGGCACTCAAGATGATCTGCTCCATAACCTTCCCCAGCACCGAGGTCAGACCGACAGGCCTGGAGTTCCCAGGATCCTCCTTTTGGCCCTTCTTGTGGATGGGCGTCACATTTGCTAACCTCCAGTCAACTGGGACCTCCCCAGTTAGCCAGGACTGCTGATAAATGATGGAAAGTGGCTCACTGAGCACGTCCACCAGCTCCCTCAGTACCCTTGGCTGGATCTCATCCAGGCCCATAGACTTGTGTGTGTCTGAGCGCTGTAGCAGGTCAGTAACCATTTCCCCTTGGATTATGGGGGCTTCATTCTGTCTTCCAGCTCAGGGGACTGGGAACCTGGAGAACAACTGGTCTTGCTATTGAAGACTGAGGCAAAGAAGGCATCAGCCTTTTCCTCATCCTTTGTCACCATGTTTCCACCCACATCCATTAAAGGATGGAGATTCTCAGCCCTCCTTTTGTTGCTACTCCCAGCTTGACAGTACATTTTACAAGATTGCTAACGCTAAAAAAATTTAGCATCACATCACTCTTTGTCTCCTTGTATGGCAGAATCACCCTAAGATGACACAGGAAGTGTAAAACTTGTCCTACAAGTCCTCCTTGCACTTACTACAAGAGTGCTCACACCATACACTGTTCCTTCAAACATATGAACACCTGCGGCCCTCCGTATTTTTCCATGGTAAAATATGGTAAAAACCCATTAAAACATCCTAAAAAACTCAAAGCATTTCTGTTTTCCTCTCCACACTAACTAAGCCAGTAGTCCTTATAAATTCATAAATTTCACAAAAAACGTGAACCAAAATTCAGCACAGATGCTTTACACGAGCCGTTGTATGTCCAGGTTTCACTGCTCAGCCACGCTCATCACAGCGATACACAACTACCCACAACAGCAAAGCTCAAACTACCCGCTGCTATTTTTTTTTAAGACAAAACAAGTGCCAGGTGGCAAAAAGAAAAGATTTGAATGAAATGCTCTTAAGAAATAGCTGTTTAATTCAGAACTCATTCATTTGTATTGACGAAGCGTTTTGTAGAACGCATTCTGTTAAGTGACCTGAGAGCATATGTTGTATACGGAGAAACATCTAAACATTATGCTCCATGTTTTATGTGTATCTGTAAATGCTTGCATTAGCTGTCTGAAAACAACGGGTTTTTCTTCTTTTCAGCATTTAAAAATATTTTCAAACACAAAGATTGATATTTTTATGCTAGCTCTGATTACCCTTTTGTTGTTATCAGGTCCTTTTTTTTTTTTTTTTTTTTTTTAAACAACTGTTTTAAACTTTGCGATCAACTTGTCTTTTAAAAGATAAACTCCATGGAGAAGTTAGTCATCAAAACCAATTAACAGCAGAATTCAAACACAGAACATAAAGGTCTTTTAAGAACTTGGGGAAAAGCAAGCTCCCCGACCACGTTTATTGTACCGGCAGAGGATAAATAAACTATAAACTAAAATGTGAGCTGTGTGGAAGCAATGCTGTGCCCGGCAGTCCTGCCCCCAGCCCCGCGCCCCGGGGGGCTGGCAGCACTTGGAGCCGTGCCGGGCACCGTTTTGGGGGGGAATGAAGGTCCCACGTAGCAATAACTTGGTGCCACTCCTTAATTGACCGAATGGGCGGCTGTTGAATGACACAACCCATTACAGGGGAGATGACGACGTTATCTAAGGCGGCAAGAGCCCTCTGGATGGCGACGGAGAAGAAGCCTTGGCACAAGGTGCCAGCAGCGAAGGTTAGTAACTGGTGGCAGGAGCGGAGGTGAGAGCAACTCTGGTCTACCGCGTGCACGCGTGTGTGCGTGTTTGCATGACACCCCCCCACACACCTCCTCGTTTCCCTCTGCACAAAGCGGCGTTGGAAAATTCCATAGTGCTCCTATGGAAAACGCAGCGTAATTAACTCATTTTGATATGAAGCCTTTTTAAGATGAGACCTTTGTGTTGAACATATTTTACTGTTCCACTCCTCTTCCACTGTCCTATATTAATCAAAGCTGTAACCCCTGTTGTCTTTGCACTACGAATCAGAATGTGCCCCTGGCGAAGAATGAGGGAAAAGTCAACAGGAATTAAGTTTCAGTGCAACTGTTTACTCAACTGTGGCCTGCAGTTATTGAAATTTTATCCGTGGTTTTGTGTGACTACTGCAGTAATGAATTCAGCATGGCTGTGATTTTCTCACTGATGGTATTCTCACTTCAAGTAAAAACCTGGAGGATGAAAATGATTGAAACAACTGAAGTCTACGCATTTAGTATCATCCATTTTTCTGACTTGTTTAATTATGGCAGCTTTCCGTCTTAGGTTGGCACACGGGGTTCCCTGCTCCTCTGCAAGTCTTCGCTTTGCTTTGTTTTTGAGGGCAGGTTTTTTCTTCTCCACAACAACCCGCTAAAAAGATCTCTGTACACTTAGGGGAGTCTTAACCAGCTGCCAATCGCTTATTTAAAAGGTTTTAGGAATGCTTATTGCATTAGAGAAAGTGCAGGTTAGGCGTAAGCGTATTCACCACGGCTCTGCTGCAGCCTTTGTTCCCAAACACGGTAATGATACGTGCCCGGCACTTTGGTGTAAAATTTCCTCGGAGGGTTTCAAAATTTTATCAGGGAGAAGAAAAAGACAAAACGTATTACGCGGATAATTTTCACTGGTGAACTTGGTCACTTCCCAGAAAATACACTAATTAAAATACAAAGGCAAAACACACAATTTGGTTCCGATTCTTCTGAATTGAGGAGTACTGACACGGGATGTGTTTATTTGTTTATTCTGATGTTTTGCTGCAGCAGATACCTCCGCAGCCGTTCTCGCTAATAGAAAACATTCTGTTGATAGAGGTTGCTAGGTTATATTAAAATTTGTTGCAAAAACAAAACTTAACGTTAGTGTATTTTCCACCCAGTGACATATTTTGGAAACCAGTTATTTGTATACAGCGGTTCACCCAAGCGCTGCCACCAGACCCAACACATTCAGGCAACGGAAGCAAGCCCTGATCTTTGGGTATTTCCAGGGAATGATTAAAAAAAAAAAAAAAAGAGCCCTGGAAGAGAAGTCCGACGTTTCCCTTTACATTAACGATTGCAATCCCCAATGGACAAAAAAAATGTACAGAGTGTCGTAGGCAAGTCCTAAAAGCATCCTCTGACTGGCAAACACAAAGGGTTTGGGAGGGTGGGGGTTTAAATGCTTCACGCTTTTTCTGTAAGTAGGAAACTTGTAATACGTCTTACAATACCTGCTGTTGCTGAAGATGTGCTAAATCTGCAGCCCCAATTTCAACTGAAGGTGTCTCGCCGTTTGATCTCACTTCCCGCAGGCTGCACTCTAGTAAATGGTTGCCACTGCTCGCTCCATTCTGAATGGCTGAACCGTTACTTTTTGTCTCAGTCCCAGATTCTTGCATCATGACTCAAAAACCTGAAATAATTTAGAGGAGGGGAGGGGAGTGGGGGGGGGAGAAGGAAAAAAAAAAAAAAAAGCAGCTGTTAAAACAGTTGCTGTATATAAGGAGACATGCCCTGGTTTAAATCCTGCCAAAACTGTAAACATTTGTCATTTCCCTTCATACGATTTATCTTTCATTAATGGTTCATGCTACTAGTTTATGTTTATTTATCTGTTGGTACAGCTATAATTTTAGTAAGTTAGTTCTGTTCTAAATATAGTATTATTTGCTCAACATCTTTTTTCCCTTAGAGAAAAAAAAATATTTTTGAACGCACACACAGAATCCATAATTAAATTTCTCCCGTTACATCTGGATGCTTTCCTTTGAAATGGATGAGTCATTCTTTGCAACAGATGATGGACAATATCAAAAACTTGATATATGGTACGTAGGGGCAGTTAGGTGAAGCAGAGCATTCACTTTTTCAGTTTCCATTCCCACCATGAGATTGCCAAATTAGCACCTTTTATTACTCTGAAGCGTTTAGGCTGAGTCTGGGACGGGCTGGACACCATCGGTTTTTGTTTGGGGCAAACTGTTTCGACTGCTCAATAAATTAGTCTTTTGGGGAAGTTTCTGGGCTATGGATTTGGTCTGACTTTGGATGTGCTATGGCATTACAGTGAAGAGCCTCCTGTGTTATTTGGCTAAACATCATCTTAGTAGCCACAGCCAGCCCGCATGGCGCTCGACTCGTGGTGGATGTCCGTCACTGAGTGTGGGTCGTGGGACCCACGACAAGGATGAGGATGAGGACAAGGAAGAGTGCCCGCTTGCTTACCCAAGAGCTCCTGAGATTCACATAGGACTGGGAACCAACTGGAACTCGTGGTGGATGTCCGTCACTGAGTGCGGGTTGTGGGACCCATGACAAGGATGAGGATGAGGATAAGGATGAGGACAAGTGCCCACTTGCTTACCCCAGAGCTCCTGAGATTCACACAGGACTGGGAACCAACTGGCAGCGCTTGTACACTACCAGACCCTCCCAAACAAAGCATGTACGTCAGTTTTTAGCTGCAAACCGCTACCTTCGAGATCTTTTGATGAGTTGTTTTATAGGTACTTCTACCTGCTAGGCCCCAAGTTACGGGATTTAAATGTTATTAACCTGCTCTGCTTCCGCCAGCCCATCCCTCCCCTCCCTTCGTGCTCCTCCTCTCACGTTCCCCCGGGGGAACACGGGGTACGGTAAGCAAAGGTGCGTGCTCCAAGCACATTGCCTACACCGTGCTAACTCACCACCTGCACACGTGAGCCAAATACCTCCGTGCAGGGTAGTTCACCTTGAAAATAAGATGCTTTATGTTTAAGGGAGAACTAGTTTGAATTCAGTAACTACCCCGAATCCAAAGGAAGAAGAAGAATTCTCTCCCTTCCAACATATAAGGGAAAATACCAATCAGAAAGAGTGAAAGCGATGCATTTCAACAGAAAAGTACCCGGGGAAAACACTTTCCCTGGGAACTCCACAGGTGCATAATTCACAGCCCTTGGCCACCAAAGTGTCCCGAGTGTCTGCTGGCCCTTGGTGACACTTAGCATCAGACCCCAAGCATGGAGATGCACTCCAGCCCAACACACCAATACCAGACTTCTCATTCATTTGGTAGCTTCAGATGTTCATAACGATGATCCATACAGCTGAGAATCAAAATGTCACAACTGAGAAGCAGCCAACTAACGAGGACTTTGTCACCACCACGCTCCGGCATTAGCACTCCTCACTGATTCACGTCCGAGGCGGGTGAACCACTCATTAGCCAGACCCTGCTCCAATCGTGACGGGATCTATTCAGGCTGAGGGCCGACCAAGCACATGGACAGTGCTAGGACAGATTCAAGTGTTCTGATTACATTTAAATAAATTTCAGCTGGTCTATGGAAACTTCTTTCAGTCTGTTTTCTGAGATCTTCGAATTATGCAAGGGGACAAAAGGGCTTGGGGGCTCATTATAAAGCTCCTGTCAACTCCCTTCTAAAAGCTCCAGAGATCTAAACTAACCTATAGCTTTCCCAATGCCACTCGCAAATGCTTGTGGGTTTTAACATGATCCTGCTTCTAACACAGACTGATCATGGTGTGCTTTTCATTTTTGGCACTATAAGGGAAGCCCATAAGCATGATAAGGTCTAAATAAGTGTTTACACATACCGCGCAAGGATGGATTACACAGCGGGCAGCGACTGCGTGGCACAGGTTGCTTCGCAAGAAGAGACAGCTCATTCTCCAGACAGCTCATAATTTACTCAAATGTATACCACGTAATTTTTCTATGCTACACTACTAAAGAGGACACACCTCTACTAACCAGAGAGAAATCAAAAAGAAGGAACTGATCTATGTAATGGTTTTCTGCTTCCATCCAAATTCAGGGTCAAGCCTCAACTGGAGAATATAGAGCATTACATTAATTTACCTCAGCAGAAGATCTGGACAAGGATGACCACCACATAAGATTGACTTAGCAGGTTAAACCCAGAGACTCATGTCTTTGTTGTGACGCTCAATGGCAAATGGTGGATGGCACATCACCACCACATAGACCACACCCAACGGAGGAAGGACATACTAAAGAACTGGTGGAAGTTGCCTCCAGCAGGTAACACGGTGAAAAGAGATGCTAAAACCAACGTGCGCAAGTACTGAAGAAGTATGTTTCATTCTCCAATACTTCTGACACAACAAATTGACTGGATGTGAGAACCTGGATAAACTGCTAAGGAGGGTCAGAAAAAGCACCGACCAAAGCTCCGAGATGCCTCTGACAGCAGCAAGAAGAACGTGCACCACTGAGGAGCAGATCTATCACTGCCTGATCACAATTTGTTGGCTTGCCCTTCTGAGCGAAATATCTCCAGGACACAGAAAATAATTCACAACCAAACTGGTCAAGAAATTATTTATTGTCTCTAGGATTGCAAACTGCTCCTGGAAAGAAACAACAGTAGAAATTGCTACAATTTTTCCAACCTATAGGACTGAGAAAAAGATGGATTATTTATAGTATTTGGTCAGAAAAAGATCATAGTTCTTGAGAACCTTCTCTACAACAAATTTCATGCTCCATTTCACCTTTCAAAGTACCCCAGCCTGTTGCCACCTGAGCTGCACAGGGCTGGCCCCAGAACCACCACTGCCTGTGTCCACCCCACGTAACGTACCCAGCAGAATTGGTAGCAGCTATCAAGGCAATGGAGCTGGAAACAGAGTTTGCAAAGAGAACGTCAAAAGAGTAAAAAGAAAATTGTGATGTTTGGGCTTTCAAAAAATTATTTTAAAAGCAGAAGTGAACATCTTTTGAGAAAATTTTGTTTTAAAAACACCCATTCACGGGCAGTCAACTTCAATATACCTTCAACTGGACACCAATACAAAACAAATCCACTTTGCTAAAATACCTGCAAGAGAAAACAGGATTTTCAAGGGAGAAAAGATAAAACTGTTTATTTCTTCACCGTAGTCAAATGTGAGTTGACATAAATAATCACAGTTTGGTTTGATCATCAAGCGTCATGTCATGAAAATCAACCTGTGAGAGCTTTCTGCAAGAATGATTATTATTTGTCTTTTTGAGCGCACCTAAATGAGCCGAGGTGATAGTACACTGAGGATGGCTGAGATAATTGTCTCTCCTCAGCACAGAGCAGCGGGCCTTACAGAAGCCTATTAGTGAAGTCTGTCATTCAAAATGGTGAAAGAAAAAAGCAAAGCCAGGTTGACTTTATGCAACATGATTAGGTTCTGTGGGAACCGAACTGAAGCTTTAGGTCTAGTACAACAAACTGTGATTCTGGTCTGAATACAACCCCAAGTAATCAAAATAGTGCTGAAGAAGCTGTTATGCGCAATGATTTATTACAGGAAACAGAGTACTCCACAAAAGATTCCATGACATACAAGATACCATGTTCTGACTTAAATTTGACAGCAAAAGAACACGTCCATCTCATGCATTCTGAAAATCAGAATGACTCTCTTATCAATTCTGCAAAGGAAAATATATTTTTACAGGCGGGTTCTTACCAGTAGAAGTATCTTTTTTTTTAATAAAAATTCTACGATATTTCATGTTAGGAGGGACAGAGAATGACTCCTAAGATTATTAAGGGTGACACAAGACGTTTTTCCCCTATGAAGGGACCAAAGCTAAGCTGTAGTATGAACAACAACTGGTAAAATTTTATCCTGAAATCAAGGAGCACGTAATAGAAGAACTGTTCTCATATGACTTAATGTCAGCCTGGTTTAAAAATCTCACAACGGTGATCAGTTTCTCAAGATTCCCATCTCAACCTGCACAAAACCTCTTCTAGCTTTGATGCACAGTCAAATAGAAAGCCAAAGCAATACAGTTTGCCCCATCTCCTTGGTGAATATGTTACGTTCAAGCTAATGGAGTAAAATTTCAGTGGAGTGGAATCAAAGCAAGGAACTCTGTCAACAGAAGGACAACAGCTAATCATCTTCCAGATGACTTGCACAGAAGTAGGGGAGAGCTAAGTTCTTAAGGGCATAGTCAAAACTGAAAAAAACAGAAGTCGGATGTGAACTTTGGCTGAATCAAAATGATCTTTCTGAGGAGTCCTGCATCAGTGTTTTGAAGTAAAAAGGCAGAACCTGAAGGAATCCTAATTTTGAAAATGTTCTGGGCTAATCCATTCTAAAAAAAAAAAGTCTGTAACATCACAAAGACCAGATGCTGCGGAGATACACGTCTCAGCTCCAGTGGACTATTTAGACGAGCAAGGTTAAGCATGGAGATTAGTAGGCAGGAGGTGGGCATTGAAGTGTGCAATTTCTGCCATTCTTCTAGTAGTATAGTTTCTAAAGACCAAGCAGCATTGTTTAATGTCAGCATGACGGAGAATTTACTGACTGAAGTGCCCGTCAGAATAAGGACCTACTGCAAGTCTGAAAGACTATGGGACTGATATTCAGATGTATTTAGATGCCTCACCATACACG